GTGTGTGTGTGTGTGTGTGTGTGTGTGTGTGTGTGTGTGTGTGTGTGTCGGCGTGTGTGTCGCTGTGTGTCCGGCAGGACATTCATAATTGGGATTAGGATGAGGATGAGTTACGTAACGAGCTACCTAATGAGAAGCTATCGCTGAGGCAGAAGCCATTAATCGTGTACACTTTGCTTCCGCACACCGTAAGATTGTTCGGAAGCTCTGCAAAAACTCACGTCACATACTCAAAGTTCCATGAGGATTTCCTAATTGGCGTTGGTACGTCTGGTCCTGTTCATGTTTTTAATTCTTATTTGGGAAAGGAGGGAGTGGGAGCGAGGTCGACTACTGGCAGCTACTTTGCTGTCGCTTTGCAGACGATGTTACGCAGCAGACAAAATTAACGGAACAATAGCGGTGCTCACCCTATTGTTCCGTTCACTGGCTCCTGCTACAGAGTCGGAATGCACAGTTAACTCTCCGTCTTTTCTTTTGGAGATGATATTTTATTTTGTTCACAAAATTTTTGAGGGAAGTTCCCGTCAACGCGGGCGCTACAAATTCTACACGGGGTGCAGACCTTTAGCCAAGTCATTCACATTGTCCTATGTCACAAGACTCTTTAAGGTTGTTATATCTATAAAGTTATAATAATACAGGGACTCTTTGATGGGTATGTCTGTACGGGGCGTAGGTAGGGTAGGAAAAATTGTGCGGTTCTGTGATAGTATTTGAAGGGGTGAATAGGTCTTATAGATCATCTAATATCCACCTATTCTGAGTAAAGTCATAATTTTAAGACAATTTGCTTTGCAAACCGTGTTTCTCACGACAAGTTTTCATCCATAGTTTCGAATTGGCTTCAAGTTCTCTGAATTAAATCTATTACACGTCATTAATTTTTTCAGGACATCATGTTCAACATTTTGCTTTCGATGGCGAAGGAGGGCTCGTCGGACTGTCCACAATTCACAACGCCCGGCCGTATGTTTCTATATTATTACGTTTGAAGGGCTCGAGAACCATGCAACCAGGCGGGGTGTCCAGCTCTTCTTACCTGCCAATGCCGCAGAATATCAATAGGCGGATGGGGCACTTCATGTGTGAGCCACGTTCCATCACCTATGTCTTGGTTCCAAAAGGGGGTAACAGTCATTGGAGCGGGACCCTGTGGCGGTCCCTGAATCCGAATTCACGACGTCGCGAGCACGTCCGGCGGGTTCGGCCTGGGCTGCACTTTCCTGAAAACGATACCCCGTAACACATGTGATAACTATCAAAAAAATACCGCACAGAACGTTCTTCTATGAGAATTTTAGTGTAAATTTTGCCACCTATGTTCAAACAGCATTCAAAGACAAGGGTGTTTCCACGACAGCATAGGGCACAATACGGTTGCGTTTGCTCAGAACTGACAGAGTAACAGGTACCCTTTTGTGGAGATGTAATCAATACTATAATATTCCTTATTTTGTGAGACGATTTTCACTAGAGTCAAATAAACCTTACTTCTTTTCCTCACACCTTCCGTATCTGTGATTTTATTAGATTGACGCAAACCTGAGACGATGAGGTGTGCTTTTTTGCTTTCTTTACAATTTTATTTTATTGAAACTTCCACCTATTAAACTATGTTCACACCATCATGTATGACATTCATACCTCGAAGAGGCTGGTCCGCTATTAACATCTACCATAATGAGAAGCATTGCCTGTCAAAGATAATGTTACAGCATTCTTGTAGTCAGCAGGAATGGCTTCTTACTCGGGGCGACGTCAGTGGTACAGGGAAAGTGAGGAGCGGTATTTTGGATATGTTTCTGCAATCTAGTCTACATGACCTTTTAGATCAGGCCGAACGTGCGGAAGGTGAGCGGAGACCCCTTTCCATCGCTTATCATCAGTTATGGAGCAAACTCCCAGAGCTGACTGCTATAGGAGGTAGACTGACTTGTGGTATAGCAATCCCTGTAGGTCTTGAAAGCAGCACAGCAGACCATTTCTAGATTTCTGTCTTGGCTTCGGATGCACGACCAGATCTTCTGCTTCTAGGGGACAGGCACTGTTTGTAGAACCCAATTCCCACCTGCTTTCACCATATCCTCCGATTGCAGGTCAAAAGAAGCCGTTGAATGATTGATACCACCCGTGTGATGAAGCTCGTCAGTCTGTCGCTGCGGAATCAAGAAGCAAACACTTTTCTACAACCATGTTCGTTATCGTGTTAAACGACGTTGCTCTGACACTTATACCTTAAGAGTTTTGCCATAGTCACTTGCCTGAAAAGACGGGAAAAGACATTGGTGAAGAGTTACAATAGCAACTGGTCGCCTGGACGTGCCACATTTTCGAAACGAAAGTAAGCGAATCAACGGCTGAAGTTCGCGTGGCTGGAGCTGGAAGTCCCCTCGGATTCTATTGTTGATATTGGAGGCAACTAAACGGGCACGGGAGTGGCAGCACCATTCGTGCAGGACAATTTCAAAGTTCTCTTTGTAATTGTGGCATGGTTAAGCATGGTTAACAGGGGTAACGCTCGCAAATCTTTTAATTTTCCTTAATCCGCAGATTGATAATAATATGATGGAGGTCTGAGGGCGAACAAGGTCCTTCCAGAGAAGCGACGACACATGAAACTCGTGTCTCAAGACATTCGCATTAACCAAATAGAAGCGGTACGAGTCATCTTTTTAGCGATATTAGGTTGATGCATAAATCTCAATAGTGAACCAAGCTCAAGGTTAGAAAGATTGCACCTTCACTATCCACTACTCGACTTCAACGCTCCAGCTTTTCGATTCCTTCATCCCAAAAGGACGAGGGCTCGGGCTCAAGCTCTGTTTCAATTTTTTTCCGTCCGGAGGGCGCTACAGGTGGCTGAACAGCCAGTAGTTGGAAGGAGCGAGGTCAGGACTGTAGGGGGCTGAGCGACAATCAGCCATCCGTACTTCTCTAGCCCGGCCTGGATCGACTTTGCGGTGTGAGGTCGGGCGTTGTCAAGGTGGAAGTAAATAGGTTCGATTCGAATATACATTCCATCCGCGAGTACGGTCGACGTCATCTTCCAGTTTCCGCAGCTAGGTAACGTATGTGGAATCGTCAATGTCTGCCCCTTCTCCAGCAGCTCGTACGGGTCAATGCTTCTTCTTAACCACCAACAGGACATAGGAAATTTCTGGGTCACCCGTGGGTGGAGGTCGGCCTTTGAGATGAACCTTGCTGTTCACCTTTGTCGGCACATTGCCGCTCCCACACAGAGTTATCGTGGAGGAACCACTTTTGTTCTGCAGTGATTACCGAGTTGAGAGAATGGAGCTTCATTTGTAAAGTGAGGAGAGAGGTGAGGTGGCCACCCTCCTCGAGAAGTCATAAGCGGACGGTTGATGTGGGACTCTTCGACCAAGCTTTGCTACCTTGCCGAGCTATAACAACTCCGAACAATCGTCGATTAATTATAGCTGAGCGATTGATTATATTTCTCTGGTGGTTAGGTATGCGACCTCCTCCACGGTGGAACATAGTACGTAGAAACCTAACCCAACTTGGAGCGCTTCGCGAGGAAAATCATTCTTTATGTTGGCGAGCTATGTCCTACATGTGTGGTGAGAAATGACGTCCCCGCCGTATGTTTCCACTAGCTCGGAATGGGTTCCCTCGCATTCCAGCCGGAATCGTGAAGCAACTCAGGCTGTGGCGCAGATACATACTGTCACAGTGGCAATTGTGCGGCAATGTCTTCTGCATGCAGGGTAAATCAGTGATAGGCTGCCTTCGTGGCCCGCCGGCGTGAAGGCGAGCCGGCACTTTAGAATAAGTTTCCTGCCTTTCTGCTTCTTTAAATACATGGAGGTAATGTCGTAAGGAACTCATGACGATATAATAATTCTTGCAAACGCTTTCAGGAATAACTGCTTACTGGCCCAGCCCTCAGAACTTAGGGTCGTACTTTGTTTGCTCGCCCTTAACGCCGCTCACCTATCAAACTGGTTTTGTTGTTAGTGAAGACTACAGTACACTTTGAAGCATTTGAAGAAAATTTTTCACTTTTCAGGTTCCAGTAGGGACAATCTCATTAACACTGTATACAAATTGCACCGAACGCGGTTACGAATTCTAGAGCCATATCGGTAAGCATTAGAAAATATAGTGATTTTAAAGTAATAAATTGCTAGGGTGCTAGAATGTCAATGTTAATCGCTTTCATATGTTTTTTTGGAGGCAGATGCCACTTCCAAAAACCTGCAGACCGATTTCGAGGATATAGTTACGGGAGCATTTCCTACATGTTATATTTCTTCTAGNCTGGTTTTGTTGTTAGTGAAGACTACAGTACACTTTGAAGCAGAAAGAAAGAAGCAGAAGAAAATTTTTCACTTTTCAGGTTCCAGTAGGGACAATCTCATTAACACTGTATACAAATTGCACCGAACGCGGTTACGAATTCTAGAGCCATATCGGTAAGCATTAGAAAATATAGTGATTTTAAAGTAATAAATTGCTAGGTGGCTAGAATGTCAATGTTAATCGCTTTCTTGCAATGCGCCACGAACCATCTCCGTGCAGATAGCAGTGGCTCCTGAATGCCCACTTACAAGGGAAGGATATGAGATGTGTATCCGCATATGTTTTTTTGGAGGCAGATGCCACTTCCAAAAACCTGCAGACCGATTTCGAGGATATAGTTACGGGAGCATTTCCTACATGTTATATTTCTTCTAGATATTACGAGATTTTGTCGAGCATGTATGAGGGTGAGTCGCCATTGCAGTTGTGAAGTGATCGCGTAGTAGGAAAAGCCGTGGCCCCGTGGGCGGGTAGGAGTGTCGCCAACTCTTGTGCGCGAACTTATTTTACTTTTCTATTAAATGTAGGCTGAAGCCTTGCAATACGGGTCTATATCTCCCGCTGACTGACTGCAGCCCTCGTTTCCAGAACAAGCCCAAGAAATAATTGCTTTACCAAGCCTAGTCCCAACCTTTTCTGACCCGAAGAAGGACGTCCTTTCACACCAAAAATCAAGTACAAGATAACGAAACATTAATAGTAATCAATGAGCACTTCATGGCCACACATGACTGAGATGAGCCTACCTGAGGATACGCAATCTCTTGCGATTTCTCTTGAGTTCTGCCAATTATGATTGGCAGTAACGGAGCAAAATTAGCTCCTTATGAATGGATAGATACAAATTTTCCTAGCCATCTGAAGGGGAAAGACTAAAAAGACTATAGCCATCCCACCTAGACTGAGGAAACAATGCTGAAAAATGATGAAATTGGGCGAGCTTTTCATGCAGAGTTATCCCAGAGCATGTCCCATCTCCGCTGTTGTCGGTGGGTGGATTAAAATATTTGACCTCTACGCAATATCGTATACCGCTCAGGTCATGTCAAATTATGAAAGCAAAGCATTCGAACGGTTTTCGTTCCTAACAACAGAAAGGAGTAAAATCAGTCGCAGACTGAAGGCTTTGGAACATCAACGGATCTACGTAGGACGTATTCCCCCAAAAGTAGTACTTGCTGAGGGAACTCGGCTCATGCGACGTTACGTGGGCACTAAGCGAATAAAGCAAATGGTTCAGATGGAAACCATTGTGATCAAATATTATTGAACATTAGCAACCATAACAACTATACTGCAGTATAAGCTCTTGAGGTCCGGAAAGGATGAATAGAGAGGGCTGCAGTTAGTCAATGGGAGATATAAAACTGTTTTGCAAGACTTTAGCACACATGCCTATGAGATGCAAATCCTCGTGCCGCTCGTGCGAAATCCGCGCCTGTCCTACTGCACCAAAAGTTCACATCTGCTTTAACGACTCGATCTCGATACATGCTCGGCAAGCACATTATATGGAAGGAAGCTCCAGTAACTTCGTTTGCAGGATCGTGCCCTAGATTTGGAAATGTAGATTCGACACCGTAAACACAATGTGGATACACATTTAATCTCGAGTGACTACTGCGATCCAGTATCCTTCTCTTGATAGCTTACAGATTTCCCACAAAGGTCAAGAAAATTACTAGCTTTTTTGTTATACATGGTCTCATTTTGATTCGAGGTATTTATCCGGATTTCAATCCAGGAGAAAACTGAACAGAAGCTTTATTTGTCACCTCACTTGTCAGAGAGAGAGCTGATGGGGTTCTTCTTTTCATGTTCCGCCAGCGTTTTTTTGAGGTTCCACGTGATCGCTTCAGCTAGGATTCCAAAGTCATTGCTTTTATTATAAAATGATCCCGTGGCATTCGCAGCGTGAGTTCGAACTTACCAACTCAACTCACTTGCTCCCTCATCTTCAATTGGGCGGAAGTTTTTTGCGTTTCTCTACATTGTCTTCGATTCCTACCTTGTCCAGTCGCTTGAGCCACTTCGTGGGTCTCACCACTCCTGTGCCGCACGAGGCCTGGATCTTTTATTATGCTCTTCTGCTCATTGCACTCTTTGCATTACATTCATTGAACCTAACTCTAGAAAAAGGCAGGCCCTTGAATGGATTGTAGAGTGGAATGCAATTGACGCTATATATCATCCAAAAGGCTGTAACTTCCCCATGATCAAAAAGCTTTCGAACTTTTCGGCATGAAATATATTGGATTGGTCTTAAATGACTAAGCTGAAGCATCGGAATTGTCTCCTTGATCTACACATGTACGTTTATTAGCATTCAAGAGCCGTTACGACTTTGAGGAAATGAAACTATATGCTTAAAAAAACTATGCAGGAATCCGGAGTAGAATCCGACATTTTCTCTACAACCGTAACCTAATCGAAGTTAATTTTGATTCAGGAAGCTGAAAAATGCTCTCAAGCAACTACAAGAAGACTACTTGAAATCGAAAGGAACAAATCCCATCGTGCGATATATGAGGTTACAGCAAAGCGTTAGAGAAGTTAGTGATATATATTTCTATACTTTCCTTGAATCCTGAATTTATGCTTCCACTTGGCTACCGAATTTCACGGCCTAACAGCACACGCATAAATAGAGTCCGCTAACTCAGAACTGGGGATATGAAGTCGTCCAGTCAGATTATGGTGAGGAAAGGAATCTCGTTCTATTGATAGCTATTAGCCCTATCGGCTTCTAGAAACTCCGATTTTTGCATTTTTAAGTCGAGGCTTCATGGAGATGCAGAAATTTGGGCCATCTTCTTGCTTTAAATTTGAATTTTGAACTCCTTTGCTCAAGTCTAAGCTCCCATCCTAGCAATTTGAAAAAGTTACTCAACTCACCCCCACAATCCACAACAAGCCACATGAGGCTCGTAGCAACGAAAAACCAACATCCATATCATTAATCTAAGGCCATTAATCTAAACTACATTTCCGACTTCTTTATCTCCCATACATATATCAAAGTCCTGGGGAGGATTTTCATTCTGAATCGGTTGAGAGAACTAGCTCAATTTCAAAGACAGCTGTCAAATCCGACTTGGAAAGGACAGTCGAAGTCTGAGAACCCACTCTTTGAGTTTCCTCGAGCAAGCAGAAATCCACATAAGAGGTCAAAAAACCCGTGAATTTTAGTAATATTGTTTGATAAAAGGTTATAGATTGGGGCATTCTGAAGGCAGCCTTTGTTACTCACACAACTCCTCGTGCCACCTGCACTAGGACACGAGTTAAAAGATTCTTTCCATTCATGGCTTTCGTAAAGAAGTCCGACTTCGACCTGGAAGACGTCCGTCTGTTCGCTTGACGTCCCAAAGAACTCACTGAGCATCTGTACTTGTATAACGGTCATCCCAAAGTCGCATGACGCATGTCCTGCACACCCTCGACTCTCTGCAGTCGATGGAGTCCCAGATCTTCGTTCGTTGACCGCCGTTTGAACTCTAGGTCATTTTCTACTCTTGCGTGTATAGGAGTATTTCGAGCACTGACCTTCCCACACCGCCTTGAATGCTCATCTCATTCTGCATGCTTATCCTGCCTGCGTAGCGAAAAGAGTTTCTGAGGCATATTTCAAAGCAGGAGTGCTATTAATGGAGCGCCGAAAGTTTATCGTCTTCTTCATCTTCGATGTTCTTGCGTTAATCAACCCCGTCCCGCACTCGACTTCCATTCAGAATCGAAGTGGCGTATTGAGTGTGTGTGACTATATGTACATATGCCTATACAATGACTTGCGGTGACCAGCCGATGTACAAGTCAGTGCTTTTACCCTCCCAGCGTATGTGGTACCAATTAACCGGCCCCGGAGGGCTGGAAAGTTTGGTTGGCCTTGGCAGATGTCGATCCGGGATTCGAACCCTGACCGCGTGCGTGGTGTGCGCCACTTGCCACTACACCACATCCGCCCAAAGGTTAAATATGATTGTAAAAAGTCAGTGGTATGTATTAACAAGTTGATCTTCACGATTTTTCTCGATGGAATTACTCTACAGTTTCTGTTCAGGTTGTAATCATGGAGAAGCAGTACTGGAAACTACTCGATTTGCCGAATCAGGAAGGCGCTGAAGACCCGAATGACTACGTCGTAAGGTGATTATCCAAAATACCTATTCAGTGCTTGTAGGAAGTTGCATTTATTGTACTAAAAGTCGCTCTCGATATTCCAGATACGTGCATCCGACCTGTCATTCATTGGTTTAATAAGAATGAAATTCAGAACAAGAGCCCGGTTATTATAGTGACCTAATGGAAGAGCGCAGGGTCTCATGCACAGTATGTATCGATACACTGCACAGCTTTATAAAAAACCACCAATCCCCGTCACATATACGATCGGGATGGATTTTGGGAGTCCACAATAACCATTTCGTGGCCTTTGAGATTGTTCAATATGCAACTTGGCGGGTCCAGTAATCGACAGAAACTCCACTAATTATGCAGCTCCCATAAATGGAAGAACAAATTACTGTCCATTCTGGTATTACTTCATGGACTTGAAACATAATCGCCACACGCTTTACGTCCATAGAAAAACAAATTTTCTCATCTTCCGATCAGTAGAGCTATGTTCGGGAAGGAACTGCTATGTTCACCAAGTTTTCTGTACTGTAAAGCTTTTATTGTTCCGAACTCAATTCGAACAACCCATTCAGGATTATACACCTTCTCGAGGAGACATCACCATGTCCACCTCCATCAGGAGGCATCGGTGCACTGCTTAGTTCCACAATGATGGGAAGGAGCATGGAAACTCGGGTTGATCAAAGTCTTTACGATTCGATCAAAAGTAGGTGTCTTTCTACACAGTCAGTGCACATTTACTCAAAGACTTGTGCTTAAGGCCGAAAAACGGAAGAGTTGCAAAAAGACTGTGAAAATCTCTATGTTCAACTTTACAAGTTAATACGGAAGTATCAAGGACTGAGGAAAATTATCAAGGTGAGCGCTGAATTTTTCCAAGTTCAGAGTCAAATACTGACTCTTCTATGTTGAATCTTATAAAGTTCAACTCAGTTCATCGAGGCTTTACCGATTTTATCGAACCAATGTTGAAATTTCAGTTGAAAGTCTGGAATCCTCGTCTTACTTAGGTACCGAAAGCGCGTCTTTAACAACAACACTTGTTATATTTACGACCAGATGGCGATTCCAATATGAAAATATCAAAGGGCTGAAAGAGTTGTGGGGAACATAAACTATTCTAAAAATAAAACAGAATCAGACTGCTGCATTTCCCTTGAGGCGCGCTGATCATTTCGTCAGCTTTTCTTTTTTAGATGCATGAACTTCCACAAGTGCCAATTTTGGATGATCGTGCTCTTTTGTACTGAAATACAATACTCGCCGTAAGAGTACTGTATTTCAGTTTCTCTCCACGGCAGCCCTGGCTAAACTAGTGCAACTTCTATATACAACCAGGTCTACTTGTAGCTTGCGTTTCTGCCCACTGTTGAACTGTCTTTCTTTTTTACGACTCTTCAATCTCTTCCTTCCAGAGCCAACCTTGTGTCCTCTAAAGCCACACCGCGTCCCAGTTATTCTTTTGCACACTGCAGGAGACCTTTATTCGTTATTCAATGTTTGCTAGACCAATCCTCAGAATTCGGGGAACGGTTCTTCGCTTAAAGTCTCGCTCCTCGGTGCAGCTTCCACCACCGATTTCTTCGATCTGTTCTTCCCCTTGCTCTTTAGAGGTGCTCTATCGCACTTATGTGTGGCAGAATCATGATGTTCTTTATGGTTATGAGGAAAAGTCTTCTTACGAGCGTATGCTTAACATCCACATCTTTCCCACCACTTCTATAGTTTATCTTCTGTGTCTTCCTTTTGCAAAGAAGATAATGCAGACTGCAAGGTCGTGAGTTGTGGCCAAATTGAGATCCTCTATTCTTCTCCTTTTCTGACTCCTATTCCTTTAAATCTTTGAACCTTTCTTAACCATTCCTTACTACCAACATGACCATCCACGTCACTACTATGTTTAGATTGTCTCTTTTCGAAAATGTTCTATGGCAACAGCAAGGTTGAGATACAACTACGGCTGAACACTGTATCATTTGTCAACTAAAATACTATGAAAGAGAACGTTGTTGAGCAAACACGAGTAAATCAGAAAAATCTAAACGCTTATACCCATGCGAACCATAGTTAATTACGTCTATTAGAAAACAAGGAAAGATTACGAAGATATGAGTTAACAACTTTGCGATGAACCGTTTGTTTTATGCTTTATCTTTTCGTTAATGAGGTCCTTTAGCTGTTGAATGTTGGAGTAATTCCCAGCATTTCCTCTTATGGAAGCAAAATAAGTTAAAATAATATACACCAAAATAAGGGATAAAGAGCAGTGTCCGGAAAGCACAAGCAGGGGTTCGAATCCCGTCCGAGGCCGAAGTTTTGACATAAATCGCCACCCCTGAGATACTTTCGGATCGCCTACTGCGGCGATATAGCAGCAGTCAACAAAACATCATTTCAAAATAAATTAATGAGATCTTCGAGTCAAACCTTGGGTAATTCCACCTCCATTTCTGTTGTACACTCAGTTTTCAATTTAGCCTTTTCCTCATTATATATTTTTGAACACACTTTAACTGATGAGTACTTTGTTGCCTGACGTAAATCCCTCAGTAAACTTACTCTTAAGAATGAGTCAGCGTTTTGTAAAGTTGCTCACCGAGAACGAACTGACTGCAAACTAATATAAGCGACCAATGAGATTTTGGCTGTTTGAGTTTGAGAACAAGAAAAAACGTTTCTTATTTTTCAGGATCTTCACGACAAATACGACTCATCACGACTTTACCCCATCGTTCCTCGGTATCCTATACTGAAAAAGATGATCAAGACTGTCCTCAGAGCTCCTGAATTCGCTGATATTTGCCATGAACAAACAGAATGATGTCTGTCGCCATAATATTTAATAAAAACAATAACAAAATGAAAGAAATGATTCACACTAAAAAAAGAATCTTCTCACTGTGGTATAACAGGGGAGGCAACGGTCCCGTAACTTTGTCCCCAGAATCGTTCAGCAGATTTGGAACTCCGATTTGAGATCAACATTCGAAACCACCTACGGAGGTAAACATCTCATCTTGAATGGCCACTGCGACCAAGTATCCTTCCCTTGTAAGCAATACGAGACACCGCTCAACCACTTTGCCAATAATCCGGACGAGTATTTTAGTTGCCAGCTCAAGGATAAAGAATAGGCAATGAGAAAGGGATCACAGAATTTCTTCTAGAGAGTAAATGGTTGTAAAATCACGCACAGCTTCTGGAGATAGTGGTGCATTGCCATCTCGAATTACTAGCTTAACTTGCAAACCAGCTATACTGGCAGCTCTTGCTTCTGAAACATCAAATGATCAGCCTAAAGACATTATATAATAAAAGGAAAGCAGAAACATGGAAAACTAAGAAATTTTCAACGGAATGCACACGACATTTTTTTGGAACATGAATGGTTAGAGTTGTTCTCCCTCAAACGATGAGAGCTTTAAGTAATTGGTGAGTCCTAACAACACATCTACAAGCTGTTTCTACAATAGAACAAATAAACTTGGTGAAAATTGACCGTGAAGCCCACTGCACAGCACTGTACAATATTGAAGGGACTCAGACTCAGAGAAATCACTCAAAAAATCGGTAAGCAATCTCAGGAATCTCGAAAAATAGTTACAGTAGCGAACTGAATTCCTTACCTGATTCCACATCAGTCAGAAAAAGTACTTGAGCCGGACTTAAACTGATTGATTCGCAGATTTTTCTATACGAATCAGATTCTCCCTTATATCCGATCGTCGTGTCAAAGTAGCCTGATAGAATCTGTAAACACACTTCCACAGATCTGCAAGAACCTGCACCATGCACTTGAACAGTCTAATGCCAGATTGCCGGCAGAAACAGGACTAAAGTCGCATCAAAATGATTGTCAATTGTCGTCCGCGCGTTGCGTACTCGTACAACTGAGAACGCCTTTCGAGCGATTAAAAAATGCTGCACAAATATAGACCTTAGAATTTCGGTGGCGCCTATAAGCCCAGCTGGAAATCGCGGAATATGTCTGAGCACTCTGGAGGTTGATAGTTTTAGATCGAATGAGGAGGTATACCCCAAAACGGGACTGATCAAAACCGGAAACAAGTTCATCTGATTTAACACCGCTGATATTATCCCGTCCAGGGTGTTTGCGAAATTCAGTAGTAGAGCTATCACCCTGACTGCCCTCTCAGGACTTTTGGTTCCCAAAATATCAGAGCATAGTCTGGAATTAACACCACAAGCTCACATCATTCATACCTCTGCGACAAATAAAGGAGGCTTTTCTCGCCAGAGAAGTTAGCTTATTTTGTTTAACTGACATTTTCAGTGGCGCAGTTGAAGTGTGCGACTAGTTACGTTTGGTGGTAATCTGGCATTAGAAGGTTCTGCGAAGTTCATTCTATGCTCGAAAGCTTCATTTGAAAGAGTAAAAGAGAAAACAGTCTACCTATCATCATTTTTTAGCAATGAAACGTTCCAACCTTTGTCATATCGCCAACTATGGTATGACCGAATAAGAGCTTTTGAGCGAAAACGGAGCCGGAAGAGTAGATGTAGATAGGTACAGTCAGCGATTGCAATATAGGAAACACATCAGGATAAACACTGAAACACTTTAACGTCACACAGCTTAGACTAGCCATCATTAATGTGCCATGGTCGTAGCTTATCATAATGTACAATCGTATCATGAATGAATCTGAGTACTCACTGTCCTTTAACGTGTTCCTTTCTGTAGGCCTCTTCCCAGATCATTCCTTGCAGCTCTTTCATTGCTGTAATCTGAAGGATTTGTATGAGCAGTCAAGCTTCTGCTAACAGCGACGCTTTCAAAAGCAAAAAAGCTTTGTTCCTTTATCACAAAGATACATGGACCAGGAGCTATACAGAGGCGAATAATTACTGTGGATTAGCATACCTTTTTGTCGCTTTTGATCCAATATCTCACATTATGAGCTACATCGTCTACGCAGTCGTTTTCCTCATTTCTTATCAACCTGAACGAGTATCAAGTAAGATACTGAATACAACACAAAGATAAAAGTATCCTAAAAATACGAGAGGAAGGGCCATACAAGGGCCCCTAGCAACATCTCTTTGACCAAGGAACCCCGATGTCAGATTTTGGAAGAATCGTTTGTCTTGTTGATACTCCAACTCATTCGCATTTCTATCCAAGCGAAGACAACAGCATGAAGTAAAATCGGGCTCACGCGAACCTGTTCGCAAAAGCACAGCTTTTAGAGTAATAATTCACGGGAGGGTCTTAAGCCGCTGTCGCGATTAAAGTAACTTGAACCCAAAATATTCGTTTTTAATAAGTGAATTCTCATCAAACTGATACCTCACATTAGAGTCAATCTTGGATTCTTCTTCGGATAGTTGGCGCAAACTGCTTATGATTTTTGCCACGGACGCATCGTTGAAATGAGTCCGAACATAAGTTTCAACGTTGTCGAAAGCATAAGGAAACAAAACGTCCTGAAAATATTCCTGTGAACGCTATATATCGCTTGAATAATGGAAAACACATGAGCACACGTTCTACGTGTAGACCACTTTGCTGAGGTACGCCTATCATCTGCTGCCTGCAGCCCATATTCGTTTTTGAAGAAGACCGAGGCGTTACTGCATGCTAACGACAGGCGTGAATTTCGAGAGGTTAGAGAGTTATAAACTTGCTCACTTTTTTTCTTTCATAGCTATACGGATGGAAATTTTCATAGCTATACGGATGCTTTAATAGAACGAGCAGAGACTGGAAAGAAAAAAAACTTGACAACTTTCCAGCCGAGTGCACAAGTAGAAATTGTGAAAACTAAAACATTGATTAGGCTGATTGGCAATGCCCCGCCAGTACTTGAGGAAAAAATTATCACTTGCCGTGGGGGTCGTTTTATTGAAGTCTTACTCCCTCTCGGTAGGTACAGTCCTGGGGGTCAATGGCACGTGTTCAGAGGGAGCTGCTGATCCTTAATTTTCAGCTATTCGAAAATCTACATTGTTTTCCTGATCAGCTGTCACCTGTTTGATAGATGATTAATAAAAAAGCCCTTTTTAAGTAATGCTCCGTTTGAATTTCTTCTCCGTATGCCATACACTTCATCAACCTTGGCCTTCAGCAAATAGTTCACTGACGCTACCCTTTCTGCTCAACATGGTTTCCGTCTCGGCGAAACTAAGGCTCGAAAATCTTATAGTCCTATATCGTACACTACTGAACTGACATGGCTAGTTACCTTTTGTGAGCAGGAAGTCTTCTAACTGATCAGGAAATGTAACAACTGGAGAAGAGAGCGGGTAAAATCTCAATATTTGTGACAATGGTGCCTCATAACTACTGAAATCTTGAAGAAAGACAAGGTAGTACTTCAACAAAAAGGCGCTGCCTCAAGGCATATAATGATGAAGACATGGCCCAAAAAGGTAAGCTCCAGATTTGAAAATTTACCAGTCCCATAGAGAAATACTTAGATTGAAGTTCATTTTCTGGTATAACATAAGGTCTGGTCGTTCAGTGATAGCAAAATTCGGATTAAGTTGTGCATGAAAGGTTATCACCAGGACCACGATCATCATAGTGACACCGAACAAAAGGCCACCATCACTACTGCCCGATTTAATAAAACAGCTGATCGTGGAATAAGAAAAAAACGACAAACCCCACCTTGACAAATGAGATGCTTGTTACAGTACCTTCAATATCGAGTAGAAGAGCAGAAAATTTCATTCTGAATATAGGATCATATCGCTCCAAGCTAGAAAATACGAAAAAACGACGATGACACCCTCTAATTCGACGGTTACAGGACCGTTGTCAACCGCGGTTACAGGGCTGTTGTCAACCAGTATTTCTCTCGCTGAGAGACTCAGACGGCGAAGCAATCACTGCGTCTCGTGTTCACCAGTGGGAGGAGGGCGTGTCCGCTCGTTGTCCGTACTCTCCCGCTCGTTGTCCGTACTCTCCTTCAGAGCGCTCTCTCGTCAAGGGTAGACATTCGAAAGGAACCAAGAGTCGAAGAATTTTCAGAAGGACGGACTTCTCACAACTGAGGAAACTTCGTATTTCGAAGTTCAGGTAGTCTGAAAGAAGCAAAGACTTGATCCTTGTCCAAATATTAATGAAACTTCTGCATATAACATCTACACCGCAAAAAATCTATGTGGCTTGCAGAACACCTAAGTTTGCAACCTACTTGCTACTTTGTTTTTATGGGAATCAGCGCTGTGATCAAC